CCACGCCCTCCCGGCGCGCCCCCACCGCATCTCACCTGGGACCCCGTTCCGAGGTCCACCACGTCAATGGCGCTCCGGTGGTGGATGCGGATGGCTTCCAACTCCCGCGCCGCAGGAATCGACACCGTGGCGCGCAGCGCGCCGCCGCCCCGTGCGCCCAGCCGCAGCCCGTCCCCGGTGGCGTCTGCCGGCCTCTGCTTTCGCTGCCTCGACCCGAGCCACCCCGTGCGCGACTGCACCAACGACATCCGCTGCCATCGCTGCCTCTACCCCAGCCATGGCTCACGCGACTGCAAGAAGTACCACAAGGGCGTTCTGCGCGCTGCCCTCGCTGTCGTGGCAGCCCCTCCGTGCCGGTGGCGCCGCGCCGCGACTTGCCGACCCCGCCCGCGCCCACCGCCTCGCCTGTCGACCCGGTACGCGTTATCCTGTCGCGTTTTGTGGAGATGGAGGAGGCCGAGGTGGTTCTGCGCCATGGGATGGTCGTTTCCATCACCGGCGCCGGGCCGGTGGTCGCCCTTGGTGATGTCGAGGAGGTTTTGTACTCCTCCCTCCGCCTCCAGCCCGGCGACTTCACCATCCACACGCACCACCCCGAGGATTTCCTCGTCAACCTCTCCACCCGCGAGCTCATGGACCGCATCGCCGGCGACCACTTCATCAACGGGCGCGGCTTCACCCTGTCGATCCGCCCTTGGAACAAGCTCGCACATGCCGTCTTCGACTCCCTCGACCTCAGTGTCCAGCTGGAGCTCCGCGGCATCCCTGCGTAGGCTTGGCACCTGTCCATGGCGGAGCACCTCCTCGGCAGTAGCTGCTGGATTGAGCGGCTCCACCCGAGCACGCGCTCCCGCGCCGACCTCGCCACCTTCCGGTTGACGGCGCGCACCCGCGACCCGGCTTCCATCCGCCGGGCGGCCATCCTCGAGATCGTGGAGTCTGTCCCCGTCCGCGACCACGGCCCGCCCACCATCCGCACCCTCGTCTACCCGGTGTCTATCACGACCGTCAACGCTCCGGCCAGCCAAGTTGCCGCGCCCCCTGCCCGCCGCGACCGCGGCCCGAGCGACGACGCACCTGGTGAGCGCGATGGGGATGCTGGACGCGGGCATGATGCGAGCCGCAGCCGCGGCCGCGGCCGCGGCCGCAAGCGACGACGGACCCGGCGACCACGATGGTCGTGCCGATGGCATGGCCATGGACTCCACTGGCTGGCGCGCCCCCGTCCCCCGCCACCGGGCTGATGGTGTCGCCGTCGACAAAGGCTGGGCCGCCTCCCGTCCCCGTACGGTCACCGCGGCGCCGGCGTCGAGGCGCCCTGGGAGCCGTTCCATGGACCCCTGGCCCTCTGCCAACGGGCAAAGCCGGCCTCGTCGCTTTTCCAAAAGGGGAAAGCGGGGCGGAAGGCATCGGAAGGCGACAGGAGCGTCCAGTACTACTAGAACTGCGCCTCCTACGACTTCCCCGCCG